CAAGGTATTTTCATACTTGAAAAGATGATTTGATGTTCGATCGATTGGAAAACCCAGGTATGGTATTTCAGTGTTTGATCCACTGTGAGTGGGCGGAGTCTGAGGGGTCGAAGCTGATACTTGTATACTCGTATAACTGTCCACTTGTTAACTAGTATTTTACTATATCTATTTGCTCTAATTGTGTTATGTATGTAAAAAATAGGCCGTCACTACTGTAATATTTAAATTAATTCAAATTAGTAAAGCTGCGTTACAAGTTTACTATGTACTCATATGAAACATGTTATTGCATGCATATATATATAATATCTAGACAAATACTATAAAATGAAGATAGATTTTTTTATAAGGCAAGTGACGTCTAAATCCAGATGGATTTGAGTATTCTTTCGCTGATTAAGTATATTATACATTATTCCTGTATGACATATACTAGTTTTTATCTATTATGTTAATATATACAAAACTTATAAAGCCATAAATACCAGAGCATTCATTTCAGTTCAGTTCATTTACACCGATCGTTTGTCTCGACGCTGTAGGAAGTTAATTTAACGTTAAATGTCTCCAATATTTATAGAGAGACAAATTTATTATAAGATTACTCACACCATTGGAAAATTATAAGTTTCAATCCGTGACACGATATCAACTTCTTCCGAAATTCCAAATTTAAATACCTTTAGAAGCGATTAATTAAAAATATATTACTAATGAAATTAAAGTTTAAGAACGGGCGTCGCGTCGGATATGAGCGAGCAATGATCTCGGAATTTCATATTCTCGTTAGAATGCTGAGATTGAGCACTCCGAAGATTCATTTTATTACAAAAGTCAAATTTATATAAATCCTCCTTGTAGGAGTAATAATTCATTTTGGATTGATTCACAAAAACCTCTTAAATTCTTCAAATTCAATCGATCATAAAAAAGGATTAGGAATTAACACGTAAGTAGCAAAAATAATGAAAATATTTTGTTTTTTTCTATCTTTACAATAAGGAATCTGAAGCAGGTAAATGGTAATACGTTTAGTTTTCATACAAATCTCCGTAGGTACTTGTGTTATGTCTATAACTCTGTGATATTAAGTAAAACTATGTGATATTATCTTATCTGTGCTAAATATCAATTAACTTACTTATTCAGTGATAGTTATACAAGTAAAAATTCACTGTTTAGTATACTTTAAGACTTTCTAAGACTGTTATGTTGTAGTGTAATGGTATGTAAATGGTAAATGGTAAAGCTCGCCGCTTGATTATCCTTGCGCTACGCTATACGCTACTGAATCTCACTGACCTAATTTAATTCTGTCGATTAAATGCTTGCAATCAATTCTTTTTCTTTTATATAAATACTTTCTTTAATTATTATTAATATAATAAAACTGTTACTGGCAGCTTGGTTTGTTATTATATCTTACTTTTTTGTTGTTTTGGCGAAGGAGGTTTTTATGTTTTCATTAATTTAGTTTATGAAATTCTTTGCAAAAACTTTAAAGAAGAATTTATGCCTAAATGACGCAGTGACAGTTGTGTTTAATTATTTATTGACATACATATCTTCTACACTAATACAGATACTATTCTATGTGTATTGTAAAGACCCTAACTAATATACATATACCTACTAACATTGTAAGACGGTATTACTAAACGCAATGTACCTACTCCTAAATAGGTACCTATTTACTTACGTGAATTATGTAGAGGATCCCAAACGAGCATCGCTACTTCAAAAGGCGCCAATACACTTCATTCAATTGATTTCAAACACGTAACTAATTAAATATATAACTCTAATGAAATCACTTCAGTGTAATCTATAAAATAAGATATATTTACAGTCTCTGTAAACCAATATGTATTTTTTTTTGTTTTACTAGTATAGCAAGGGAACTGATGTATGACGTGTGTGATGTACATACATACCAACAAGGATCACGTCGCTATATGATTCTGGCTGCCTCTTGCACTACTCTGGAGGATTAAAGTTTCACGTTATGCCTCTTTACCATATATTTTCACTGTCAACCTATCTAGTTATTGGCATATTAATAAACAATCACTAAAAAAAAATCATTATAATCCAACAAGGCACGTCGAAGCAGCGTACGTAAGATACTGGTAGCGTTGCCTCTTTGAATGGCTATACATAAGCTCTGGGCAAAGTAGCTACTAGCTCTTGGGTCACAAGTAACCTTGATGAGCCGCGCGTAATATTATCTAGTAATATCTTCTTTTAGATTTAAAAGCCTCCAAGGTACAGAAACCTTTGTATTATTACATATATTTTGCACCCTCCGGATACAGAACCTCAGTAAAAACTGATAGACCCATTTATTATAACAATGTGCTTTGAGATTTTCTCGTAAATTTTCATGGTTTTATAAGAGCTTAAATCTACGACTTCGGGGCTTTGAGATTTTAATTAATAATACCAATGGCTCATAGACCCCACCGCAGCGATTAGTACAATCCGTCATTTAAATAAACGACTACCCTACAGTACATTTGAGGTTCTAATGCTTAGCCGTTTATTGTTATATGAGTATTATAGATGAATATATATACATATTTCACTAATGTTTTGTGGTGTATCTGACACTTCCTGTTCATTTTATTTCAATCGCTTTACAAACAAAAAGGTTATATATCGTGTACCAAGCCGCTCAGCTAGTGTATTATATAAATATAATATTAACTTTGTCGGAATATTCATTACATTACATACTCTCTATTTATATTTTTTAAGTATAAAATATTTTGTTATCTGTGCACAACCTGAACAAACTGTCGATGCGGTTCATAGAAAATGGCAACTTTCGATCAAGTTGACGTTACATAAAAAAGATAAGAAACAAGTATTGTATATTTGTGTTAAACACCATTTAGATACTTTAGAATAAATAACATCCCGTTATAGTAATTGCAGTTAAGGTAAGTTATTTCAATAGATAAATTTATATTTATTCATTTAAATAGCTTCTTGTATTATTACAACATCACTTACCTTTTATATTATATACTATTGTGATAGAAAGGTTTAATATACTACCATACATTTTAATTATTGTGTACCCAATACAAATATTTGTTAGTTGTTAAGAACTCATTATTCTATAGATATTACTTACAAAATAACTTAGAGGATGGAAGTATCTGTGCTACTTTTCATTATTATTAAGCTCCATTTATTTTTGATAAGTATACTTATAGCTTAAATGTAATATTCTCTTATGCGCTTATAAAAATATTCCTAAAGTATATGTATGTATCTGAGCAAATATAAAATTGACTAATGAAGTCAATACTCATTAAGTAAACAGCGCGCGAGTCTCTGATGTATAACTTATATGAGATACCGTAGCATATAGAAAAGTAAATAAGAAAGTAAAATAATACAAATGATTTATATGAATGATAGCGCGTAGTGGGTGGTCGATCAGAACGTTCTGCTAATATTGAATAAGTTGCGATGAGAAAGTTTCTTCTACGAAACATTATATTACTTGGAGAACTGCGATCTCCGCAGAATTTTGATTGTTTTATTACTGCGGCGGACATAATATTGAAATATCGGAATAATATATTGAATATTATCATAATAAGGAATTGTATTATAACAAATAAAAGTTCGATGTCGGGCCAAATCTATAATCATAATAAATTGTGTGAAGATTAAGACTTAGTTTATTTAATTCTTTTAATGATACGCTAATTATCTATAAGGATCTATAGAGCCCTTTACAACCTCGTGAATTAAATATACTTTTAAAAAAATAGGTACCTACTAATAGTATATATAATATACTAATCTATACTTACGTTCTAAAGGGGAAAGACTTGATTATATTATCTATAATGAAAGGTAACATAAAGAATATACCCTACTCCTAGAATACTTGACAGATTCTACAGTTAGTTACACAGTCTATATATTACGTCAATATACATATGTAATATTCGCAATACTACCTATATCGGAAGTATAACAAGAGTTTATATATTAAATACGTAGGATTCTGGTGACTTGGGGATGTTACATTGAGGCGTAATAGGAAGAGGTTTACATTCAATAGTAAACGATTGATAAATTGTGATGGTAGTAAATTCTCTCGGTATAAATCTAATTGGATCATGTTCTTAATAATAAGTTGCTGATTACCTATGTTAGTATTTAGGAATATTGATCTTAAAGGCCCAGTAGGCTTAAGGCTTTAAATAAAAATTGAACGTTTCTTAGTTTAATAAAAATGTTCGTTTGGTCTTCGCGCATGGTATGGAATGATGCCAAACCTCTAATCATATAATTGAATCGTACAATCTATTTCATAAAGACGTGACTCCTAAATTTTGGGAACATATAAATATGGTAATCTTTAGAAAAACGACAAATTAAAAATAATATTTATGTTAATAGAGTAATTATTTAATACATTTATTGGTGTTTTTTTTCAATTTAATATCCGAGAAACGAAACAGTATATAAATGCACTATAAAAAAATAATTCCAAAAAAAAACTTTTTATAAAGGGATTAAACTCTATTGTTTCTTCTTAGTGTTGAATTAGTAAACTATAAGTATCTATGCTATATAGTATCTACCATACCGTCAAAAATACAATAGATTCAAAAAAATTTAAGTAATGAAAAAAAACTATGTCATGACATCAAGTGGAATAGGTGTTAAAAAAATTAATAAAATTCTGAAAATATAATTTTAAATCCTTAATTATTGTAATAGCACGAGTGGCAATAAACAGCATATCTGATTTGACAAAACGCTTCGCACATTGTGTATCATGGGACGACACGTATCTAGGCCGGGGGATGTATTCGGGGAGAAGGGTGATTCAGAGTGCGAACTTTCTCACACTGCATTTTTGTACGAGCGCGTCCGACCAACGACCATACCGCATTTGAAGCAGAAAGGAAATGCACATTTCTCTCTTTTTATACACGAACAAAGTTGAACAATGAAAAAGTACTCACGTTTTGTATCTGATTCATTTTTGTGAAGTGTCGTCCAAACTCCCATAAGTCAACGCCAAATTTTAATGCCCAATTTTTTACTCTGAAACAAAAACAGAATGTTTTACAACTCTACATTATGTAATCAATTAGCAATTGATGTATTGATTATAACTAATTTTTTTTTGTGAATTCTATTATAATTTGTATGTATTGCGTTGCGATTGTGTGTGTTGTGATTATAGTCGTACATCTCTAACAAACACAACATAAACAATTCAGAGGAAGGTAATGCCTAATCATAGGTTGGCCTGATAATAGTACAAAATTATGCCCGTAAACCTACTGTACAAATTATATTTCACAAAATGTTAAAAATCACCTGCGTCACTGAATTATTTATAGACGGTGTTTTATTTCTAATTAGATATTAATTTCGACGAATTCTTTTTACACTTAACTATCTCTTCAAATGTCATTAAGCTCTCAGTAAAAGATACAATTACGTAAAAGTCCAAACAAGATGAAAAGGAAACGATACGACAATTTTCAAGAAAAATCTTTTTAAAACATTTATCATAATTCTGTCACGGTGAAGTAAATGTGATTGGGGAAGCAGGTTAAGCATTTTTTCCAGTCGGCTAGCCACCCCTTATTTCATATAAATGTTTTCTGAGAGGCTATACATTTATATTTGTCATATTTGGAGCGACATAAATGTATAGCGACAATTGTGATGGGATGGGACCAATTTAATTAAGAGCCGTGCGTGTTACCAATTCACGAGTCGGGACATTTTCAGATTCTTTAAGCGTGAAAATAATATGTTATCTTTTGATTTATGTTCTTCTATTAATATCAACGTTCACGCTTGTTGTACCTCGTGTTATCTTTTGTTTTATTTACTTACTTATATATTTATAGAAAATTTGTGATTATTTAGTCAGATGTAATCTTAAAGATTAAATTAGATTCAGCAATAGCTTAAATTTTTGGGAAAAAATATAGCTAGTTATATTTTTTTAATTCACCAGTTTTAAGAAGTAAAGTAATATATAATTGTTTATACAAATCTTATAAATAGTCTCTATCTCTACTAACTTAAGCAAAACTAAATAATATTATTCTTAGCTTAAAACTATTCTTAACTTACATTCGCTATTAGTAGTCCTACAGATAAGATAATAGATTTGTGAATTACTTAGTACTACATAAGTAGGTCTGTTTATGTAGAACTATGTAATATTATGTTATCTGTGGTAGAACTAATATTACTAAAATTATTTCGACAAATTCATTAAATTCCCGTTTATTAGTGCGAAATGAAAACGAGTTAAAAATAATATATTATATTATCTGCATTATTACGGTAAAACATTATTGAAATAATTAATAAACGATCTGAAATAATCTCGTGTCATACATTCAATTAATTCGTAATTAAAATTTGCTACAATAAAATATTTGTTAATAAATAAAAACCTAATTCCTCTTTCACAATCAGTTGAATCGACTTGATGTCGATGCAAATAGGAAAAAAGAAGTAAACCCGGTGGGTAGGAGGCGTGGAGTGAGTATGGCAAACATCACTAGAGGTCGTCGTTGTTAGTCCACACTCCACATGTTGTGTCAACAAACACTATTTTGTATATTTTGCCGGCGTCTTGATTTTGGCCAATATGATTTATTTTGCATATTGGCAAAATTTTCTTCGACAGATTAAGGAATTTGATGCTGTCAAACTGAGTTGTTATACTGATTTTCAAGCTTATATAAACAATTAAGTAACATGGTTTTTGTTAAGAAATAAAGGTGGCATATTAGCTGAAAGTTTCTATTAGATCTAGATAGCACAGTCCCGCCCTTTTATTTATAAAAAAATAGTAATACCTCACTTTCTCTCAGATTAAAAATAATTTTAGAATTAATTTGTTTTGTTCTATAGTACATATGTCGGTTGAATAGTTAATAGTAAGTTTAGTTTTGTATTGTAATTATGTACGTGTATTTTATTTTATTATTTATGTGCCTATAATTTTAGTATATGTATGTGTATATATATTTTGTATTGATATATTATCTATTTCTGTATCTATAGTACGCCTAAAAGGTGGATTCTTTTCTATATTCAAAGCTCTTATTATCTCCCAAGTTGCCAAGTTGTTGTAAGATATTGCTTTAGACGATAAAACCGCGTTTTGTTTATTATATATATGATTTTCTTTTTATAATTAATGTCAGTGCGCAATAAAGAGTTATTATTACTTTTCAGCAGCCATATACCCAAGTACCTTAACAATATGTATATTTGAAACGTTAAGGAGGTAGTTGAAGACACACACACGGTGAGGAATATGGAAACAATTATAAATACATTCATAATCTTGCCAGTGTACCTACCTGTTGATCTCACCACCTCACTTTCCGATTATTGCGAGCTTAATTCTCGTACAAATATTAATATTTATTAATACATACGTCTGTTTATAGTTGATGTTTATCCATCATTGGTATAAGTCCTGAGTAAAAAGTGCTGTCTGAAAGGTCTTAAAATTCTATTAAAACAGCTCACCGTCACAAGCCGACTACGCTGCAGATCGTCTGTCTTGTGGATATCTTTATTAACGGCATCTGTTTAGTTTCTTAATTAAGAATAGGGAGAATATTTTAAAAACAACAACCAACATCCGAAATTGTCGTCAGAACTTCGCCATAGCTGAATTCCTTATTCCGTTTCGTTTAATTCAAGTTGTCCCACAATGTCCTCATTAGCAATCAGAGAATGTTTCGCGGCCATTGTTAGCGCAAGTTCGGCCGTCGCCAGCAGAAGTTCCGAATTTAAAATAATTTAAAATGTTCCGTTGGGCGTCGTCAGGTGCCGGGAAGCGGTCGCAGTGGCTACTTATACCCGTTGAGGACACCGTAGGCCGCTGCGTCCGCACTTCTCTGCTAAATGGCTTCTTCAGATTGTTATGAGTAGGCAGCATCTAAACTGTTACCGTTATTCCGATATTGAAGATAATTTAATGCCACGCTATATATTTCAATCGGCAGATAATTTTTGATTTACCGGTAATATTGTTTATCAAGTACTACTAATACAATTTACGTGTATAGTTACGTAAAATGATTTCTATGAATATAAAAAATTCTAAAGATTTCTTAAAAAAAATCTATTACTATCTGTCCGCCTGCGTCATGTATATAGCGTCTCATACTGGACAAAAGGCGCACAAATATTACCTTTAGAGATATTAATTAGTCCACATTTCATGAAGTTTTAGAATAACGTATATTCTAAAAAGAGTACCAATAAATCCGCTTAAAATAAATTTGCATTGTAATCTGTTTTATCGTCATGCTCGAAATAGGGCTCTCTGAACTGAATGAACAGAACCGATTTACTTTATCCACCTGACTTTATATCTGCTATCTATATCCGTGATATGTCGATTTGAAAGCAGGAGCGATCGTATCCGAAGGTGCCATTTCATACACGTGAGCTGTAGTTTCTCGGACCCGAAAGCTTTTCTATGATTGTTTATTTCCTACCTTTCTGAATATCGAACATAAATAATATGCCATAGATATTTATGTAACGTAATGTAGTGTGTAATTTTTGTAATATTTCAATAGCATTATTCTTTTTTTTATCTGCTGTAAAAAGGAGAGAATGACTTCAAAATCATATACTGATTTTAAGAGTACAGACTGGCGTCTATCGTAATAAATAATTAATTTGCAAGTTAAAAAATTGAATTGCATTAAGTATTTATCTTGGTATATATAAGTTATAATGACTAATGATATTTGAACGAATAAAATACTGAAGCAAGTGTAACTTAATATGAATTAGGGCTTAGTGTACAGTCCAATCATCCTATGAGTACGACCAGTAAAAAAAACTATGACTAACGTGGTAGACCTATGACGCAGTTCTACTTATGATGACTATAGTCTCTTTCATCGGAATGGTATGTGGAATAAAATAATGTATGACTACTGATTACTGTTTTAACCCCTAAAAAATACGGTGATAATCATCAAAATAGTTTGTTTATTACATTAGCATAATTTTGGCATAAAATCTTAAATTTCAGTTGGAAAATAGATTTCAGTTACCATCAATAATTAGCATGAATAATAAATAGGTTCAGATGAATATTATTAGGTATATATATCCGTATATAGCGAAAGATTTAAAGATAAAATAGTGATAACAGTTGTAAAAACCACAGACATCTATCGAATTTGGCATCACTCGTTGTAGCTTCGTAACCACGGTTAGTGCAATCTACCTACTTGAATGTCGAGTGGGATCCACTTGACGATTAATTAGTCACAGTGTCACCCTAGAAACATTACTAAATTTCTACGTTGCCAAATTTTGGGAAATGGACACCTTGAGTGACTGTAGGTGCCCAGTAATGTCATTGCCTTAATTCATTAATCTTAAAATGTAAACATATCTTGGAAGTAGTTGCTAGGCAGAAGTAATAGGCGAAGCGACGGTCTAAATAGGCGAAATACAGCCCTTACTCTTCTAATTATAAGGACAGATATATAAACTAAAATCAATAGGATATTAGCAACGATCAATTATCATTTTGAGATGACACTATATTAGAGATCTAAAATCTCTTCAGGGTAGATAAATATATTGGCTGGGCTATCGTTAATACGTTTGCATTAGCCGACATCGGTGGCGAGCATCATATCGTCTGACACCGTCCGACGAAGTTAGTTCATTAAAGATAGCGATGATATCTCAGTTGCAGCGAGTCGATAACCGTTGTTTTATTAATCAGCGTCGGCGAGAGCTGGCAGACGGGGTGTCAGACGCGTTGTGCCGACTTGTGTCCTTACGTAAGCCAGCCTCCGTAGTACGCGGCTCGTCCCCCGCGCCCGCGCACCTCCCGCGCCCCGCGCTAGATCAATACCGGAGCCGGCGCCTTTGACATGTGCCCCGCGTGCCGCTCAGCAAATATTTACGTTGTGGAAACAGATCATAACTAGTTTCATTTGCCTGTTTGTACGCCCGGGGCCCGCGACCTGCATAATTGACTGTTGTAGAATCTCTGATTTATGTCTCCATTAATTTTA